CAAATCTACTATCGTGCGTTGTTTGATTCTTCAACTTCTCTTTCGCTGCCTTAGTACCAATTGGGTGTGTTGATGTATTAGATGGTTGTCCATGCACCGCATTATTCTGGTTGGATTGAAATGCCTCATGTTCAGTTGGTGGATTCGAACATGGATCAGCATGTTGCGTGCTTCTTTTAGGTTGTGATTGAAATTCATCCCACTTACAACTTCGGCGCAAAATATCCCAACATGTATCAAATGTGAAGTGTTTTTTCTGTATTGCATGATACATCCGCTTCGCTTCAGCGACCTACAAAAAAAAATTACAAACATTTCAATAACAAATATACATTTAGAAAAGAAAATTGATATTTAATAACACAAATAAATTTTACCATGTCTGCCTCAGTTGTTCCACTTTGTTGCCTCAGTTGAATTTGTTCAAGAAAACCACAGAATTTATTAATACGATTTCGATTTGATTCACCGCTCAATTGTGAATTAAAATAAACAAGTACTCGTTCCCAAAATATAGCCATAGTCTGACTATTACCAGTAATGGGATCTTGAGAGACTGCTAACCAAGATCTACATAAAGTTTCATCTTCTATAATTGTGAACGCTTTACCACGAGAAACACGAGAAGTTTCTGAAATAAAATGATTATCACTGTTCTGCGTGTTCTGCTCTCGTGAAGTTTCCGACATAAAATTAATATCAGTGTTGTGCTCCAACATTTGTGATTCCTCAAACATTTCAAAATCTTCCATAGTTTGGAAAAAATACAGTACATACAATATCTAACTTACTGAAAAATATTAGAATGATATACACTCAACCTCAGAATCAGATAATTTAATCAGATAATATAAATTAAAGTTTCAAGGGAAAAAAATTTCTAATGACACAGAAGAAACAAAATTTACAACATATAATGTAATGCTATTCTGAAAATGAAATACTCTGTCAGCTTGATATACGAAACAGATATATTTTATAGAACACATCATTAACGGTAAATTTTCAAAATACTCTGTCCATCCAACGGTAAATTATTGAAACGGCTAGTTCTGAAATATGTATATGAGATAACAATTTCAATTATATTTTCAAGGGAATTTAAATTTATATCACCCTTCAAATTATTCATAGTCCACAAAATAACCTATCTCAAAATAAACCAGTTCAAACCAATTCAAATCTATCGCAGAATTGATCAAACCGGTCGACCGATTGGTCAACCGGCCGGAAAACCGGCTGGTTGACCGGTTGATCTCCAACGGTCACGCACATAGTAAACCAGTTCAAACCAACCAGTTCAAACCCGTCGCAGAATTAATGAACCGGTCGACCGGTTGGTCAACCGGCTGGGCAACCGACTGGTTGACCGGTTGACCTCATCCAACGGTCACGCACAGTAATTTGGTGAAATCTGTACCTTGTTCTGAGTTTGATTATTTTTTGTTGAATTCTCATTTTGATACCAATTTGGTGAAACCGTTGGATTACCAAAAAGTGATTTTTTCACCAAAATTTAAATCTAATGCCAAGTTTGGTTCACCGTTAGAGATTGTTTAAGTAATTGTATATTGGATTTCAAATGTCAAAAAAAGAAAGAAAACCTTAAATAGCTTGCGTATTTGTGGTTTATAAATAATATAAAAACAAAAAGGTAAAATAAACCTATCGCTGACATATTTATTTATTTATTTATTTATTTATTGCACAGGTTAGAATTTTATTAAAAGAACATAATTCAAGAGTCAAGAAAGGCATACCTCCTAATTACAAAACATGAAGAAAAAAAAAATTTAGCGGTTGTGATAAATTTTTTTGTTTGTTATTATAACCTAATAAAGCCTTGTTTGGTATAACATATTTTAGTCCATTTTTTTTATCTTTTTATCCTTTTTGGATCATATCAATCAATATCTCTTCTCTATTTTTTTACACATTTTTTATAAAAAGTCAAAAAATATACTTATTTAGCACATCTCAAACCACCCTTAAGATTGTTTTATTTTTCAATAGAAATGAATAATACGAATATTAAGTTACAGCTTGGCAGCGAACAGCCCTGACGGAAGGCTAGCAAAGTGCTTGCCTCAGAACATTTCTAAGGAATTTTTTAAACGAGTGAGGTTAGTTATTATAGTTAGTTATCATATTTTAGTCATTTCAATATATTAACTATTATAATAATTATTTTAATAAAAAAATTTAAAATTAGTTACATATGAAGAGTATTGAGAGATACTTTAAATAATTTGTGCATATAAATATATAAAACAAGGAAAATATTTGAGACCCCCTTTTGGAGAAACCCCTACTACCCCCATAGTGATGTGGACCAATGATGTGCTTGTATTGTTTTTTTTTCTTTTCTCTTTCTTACTTGGACCAAACACAAGTGAGTGAGGGTTGTGGGGGTGATGTTTTGTCAGGTCTGAATCATTACTAATAAAACAAATAGTAGTGTTGGAATCCATAGATAAAAAAATAAAAAATAAAATAGGCAGATAAAGAATTACTTTTTTAATATTTTAATTAGTAAAAAATAAAAAGTATGGTTTGAATTGTGACTCCAAATAGCTTTATTTCTTATGTTATGTTTAGATTATTAAAATGAAGAAGAATGATTGATACATGGAATTTGAATTGGTTCGAATCGCTCGAATTTTGTAAGTCGGACGACTGCTTGGATGACCAGTCTTTTGTCAATCGCGATTGTCACCCTTGTCAGCTACAGTTGTTATCTTTATCAACCGGCATTTTCTGGATGACCTGCCAAACGACCTCCCGAATGATCAGTCAGACGACCTGTATGTACAAATTCAAACGATTCGGGCGAGGCCAAATTTGTTGAATGTAAATGAAATCATATAACCATTCCATTATAATGTTCATTCTCATATTTGATTCACTAAAATCTTAATAAAAATATATATTATAAATAAAATCATTATTCATCATTGTAAGAGAATAGTCATTCTATATAAAGAGGTTAAGAGATGATTATTTCATTCTAGTAAACCAATCACTCACTACATTCTAGAATGAAGTTTTATTTCAAAAAATTTAATGAATCGTTTAAAAGTAATGAATGATTGTTTGCAAAATTTATGGTCTGATTATAGAATATTGTAGATTATACTACTTGATCAAATTTTACAACCAGCTAAGTAATTTTTTTTTAATAAATTAATAATGTTACTTATAAAAAAATATTCAAAATTTATGCCAATAATTATGATGAGTAAATTACATTTTGCCTCCTTTATGTTTGGTCATTTTTCCACTTTGGCCCTTAAAGTTTTTTTTTTTTTTTTTTCCTCCTCAATCGACACTTCATGGTTCAAGTTTTTCCCATTTTACTCCTAAAGTTAATATTTGTTCAAAATTAGATTAAAAATGTCACGATAACTGTCAGATAACATAAAAAATATATTATTATATTAGAATTTGAGTTTGTGTCATCGGTGTGAGTTATACTTAATAAAATATTTTTATGTAACGTGATTGCCAATGTGTCTTTTTTTCTCTAATTTTTAACAGAAGGTAGCTTAAGGAGTAAATTGGAAGAAAATTAAAATGGACCAAAGTGGAAAAAAATGAAGTTTAAGAGACCAAGTGAGAAGAGGACCAAACATCAAGGAGGCAAAATGTAATTTAACCAATTATGATTTATATTTATCTTAATAACTATGATTTATCGCCTAATTATAATTATTGTGAAAAATAAATTCTAATCGACTCACTCACTAATACAATATTCTTAAATTGAATTTCTCACCTAATATTTTAAGTGGCTAAAAAACTAGTAATTTAAGTGTTTACATGAGTAAATTTTGTGTAGATACAAACAACAAAAATAAATAATATAATACTTACTATTTTATCCACATTTTTTTAAAGATTTGTTTGAAAAATCAAGCTGGACCAGCAGCTTGGGCAGTTTAAACCGAACAACTTGAGTTGAGCATGACTTTTTTATTCTTTTTAGTATTTTTTTTTTTTTTTGGCAATCTTCCAAGCAATTAATTCTCCTTTTTCTAATTGTTATTTATTTATTTTATCAGCAATGATTCAGAGCTTTAGAACTGGAGCTCTAAACCTATCTCTAATGACGTGGAAAATCAAAAATAAAAAATAAAAAAAGACTAAAACATCACATTACATGAGACTCACATAAATTAGAACTCTCAAACATTAATTTTATTTTATTTTTTTGATAGCAGGCATGAAGCCAAGAACAGATTACACAGTCAAAACAAACAATAAGATTTTTTTGTTTTTATTTTTATTGTTAATCTTGTTGGTAGCCAAGATTAACAATAACTAAGAATTTAATAAATTTTTATAATTAAATATTCCGGTCAATTGAAACATATTTTAACAAATCTTAAGATTTTGAAATTAACGATAGAATCATTTTTCAGAAAAATTTAATAAATATGACTTAGTTGTATTAGGTTTTGCTTGTTTAAATTAAAGGCATGTTGTTTTTTTGAGTTTTGGCAGAGAATGTGGAACCTTCATGAATATATCTACATACAGACTATTGAAGAGTAAAGCTGCTTTTGCTGGAAATGTTGCATTGCAAAAAGCAAGCTGTTCTTCGTGTACTACTGTCAGATGATAATGTGATATGATTCGACGTAATGTGATTTCGGTATGTTTTGTAGAGTTTTGATGCATTTCAATATGTTTCAATAAACATATTAGAATTTCAATATTCTATTAATGTTTTGTTTGAAAACAGAAACATTTCATCTATTATGATAGATAAGAAATAATTTTATTTATCCACCCAAAAAAGAAACAATTTTGTTCCTTGCCCACAACTACCACCACCTCCACCACCATCATCATTATTATTATTGTCACCCCACCACTATCACCCTCACTACCACCACCCCGCAACCATTACCACCTTCTTTTCACCAGCCACTAGCAACCACACCAGCACCAGCAGTACCACAAACTACAACTAGCATATATCATTTAAGTCACAACCAAACACAGAATTTTTTTTCCTGCTTTTTTTATACAAAAAAACACAATAAAATATTTTATGTCAAAACAAACTAAGCATAAAGTATATCCTAACAAGTCACAGTGTCCAAAGGTGTGTGCATAAATCCATATTGGTAATGTATTCATCATAAAATTAAAGAAGATAAACTAGACCTAATACTTCTTCATTACTGTTCAGAAATATTATTTAGTTGGAAAATCATCAGAGTCATACTACACTTTTCATTCCTCACTAGCTCCATATTGCTCTTCTACTTGAGGTTCTTCTCAGCCCATGCATTATACATGAAATTAAAGCTTAAAACCAAACAAACATTAGAGTTCTTTTGTTTTTGCTTTTTGTTAATACGTCCCAGTTTTCATTTTTACCTCCCTCAACAGCTTCACCACCTCAAGCATAGTAGGCCGCCTCCATGGCTCATCACTCGTGCACAACCTTGCTATCGCAAGAACTCTCGACATTTGTTCTTTCCAAAGCTCCAAACCACAAAAATACGGATCTAACACCTCGTATTCCCTTCCAGACGCGACCATCCACCTCACCCACCCAACAAGATTGCCGCCCTCCATGTCAGCCTGTCCAGTTGGCGCCCTCCCCGTTACAAGCTCCAGCATCACCACACCAAAGCTATATACATCGCCCTTGCTTGTTGCCACCATGGTCTGACCATACTCGGGAGGTATGTACCCAAAAGTACCTGCAAGCACAGTACTAACATGGCTCTCACATGCACTAATTATACGCGCCAAGCCAAAGTCTGATACGCGTGCCTCAAACTTGCTATCCAACAAGATATTGCTTGACTTGATGTCTCTGTGGATAATGTGGGGAACAAACCCATGATGTAGAAAGGCCAGCCCTCGAGCTGACCCTAGACATATCTTGAACCGGGTTGGCCAATCAAGTGCCTCCACAGCATCTGCCCGGTTCCTCAACCACACATCAAGGCTTCCATTCTCCATATATTCATATATCAAAAACCTCTCGTCTGCAAAGACACAATACCCAAGTAATGGAACCAAGTTTTCGTGCTTTACCTTTCCAATTGTCTCCATCTCAGCCAAGAATTCACGGTCACCGTGCAAGTGTCCTCCATTAAGCCTTTTGACCGCAATGATTCTACCTTCTGGTAATGACGCTCTATACACTGTACCAAATCCACCATCACCGATAATATACGTCTTGCTGAAATTTTCTGTCGCTGACAGAATATCTGCAGGGTCTATCCGGAGTAGAGAGTGCTCAAAAGTAGCTATGTTAATGCTCAGTGGCTCCTTACGCTTCTTACCAAGAAGCTCATCGGTGGACTCTGGCTCAATTGCTGTCACAATTTTACCCTTTCCCTGGTCCAGAATTGCAGCTTCTTGTTTCAGCATCGTCCATCTGAGAAGACAAACAAGAAGGACAAGGGAAATGAACGTGGCACCAAAAGCAATAGCCCAAACAGAAGCCCCTGTTAAAACCGGTGCATGTGGGTATCGTGAAGGGAAATTCGGTTGCTTTGGTGTGCAAGGTTTAGTCTTGGCGCAAGTTTCTGGCACGTGTCCAGTGAATCTGTTACCAGAGAAGTTGACAAAAGCAAGGCCTTCTATATTACAGATATTGCAAGGGACAGACCCTTGAAATTTGTTGTTTGAGAAGTCTAGATATGTCAAGGTATCAAGATTGGAGAGCGAAGAAGGCACACTGCCAGTGATCATATTGTTGTGAATATCTAGTATGGAAAGGGTGGTCAGATTAGAGAAAGAGTTACCAAGGGAACCTGAAAAGAGGTTGTTGCTTGCATTTAGGACCAAAAGAGCGCTAGTGGTGCCTAAGTCCAAAGAGATTGGTCCTGAGAATGAATTCATACTGATGTCTAGGTTGGTTAAACTCTTGACACCAAAAATGGAAGAAGGCAAAAGACCAGTTAACCTATTATTTGACAAGTCAAGCTTGGCTAAGCTAGGCATCATTGACCCCAGATTATCCGGAATTGAGCCATTTAGCCGATTATGTGAAAGTACAAGCCCCTGTAGGTTTCTAATTGAGAATAACTGGGAAACAGCTGGCCCTGTCAAAGAATTGAAAGACAGATCGAGCAACGTTAAGTTAGCCAGCCCAGAAATCCCAATAGGAATAGTCCCACTGAGTTTGTTTCCCTTCAACAGTAGTTCAGTTACAACAATGCACTGCTCAATTGATGCAGGAATAGGCCCCACAAACTCATTATTGGACAAATCAAGCATGCCATAATGTTGGGTGAACTCAGAATCTGGTAAAGGCACCTTTTGAAACCCAGAGCAAATCTCCTCAGGTATTGAACCAGAGAATTTATTGTTTGATAGCACGAGGTTATCAAGCAGTTTCAACTTGGATATGGATTTTGGAATTTGACCAGTAAGCATGTTTGAACCAAGGTCCAAGGACACCAACATCGTACACTCGAACAGTTCCAAGGGGATCTCCCCAGTCAAATTGTTACCATGTAGAGACAGATTGGTCAGATTTTTGAGTTCACCAATGGAACTTGGAATGCGTCCTTCAAAGTGATTATTATCTAATTGCAACCTCTGAAGCGAGGAGACTTTAGCAACACCCATGGGAATCTGACCTTCAAGAAAATTGTAGCTGAGTGAAATCTCCATCAGTGATTTTGATTCCCACAATTGATCAGGAATCCTGCCAAAGAATCGGTTTTTTGACAGTTCCAACGTAACCAGATGAAGCTCACCCAAATAAGCAGGTATTTTACCAAACAGATCATTTCCAGACAACACCAAATCTGTGAGGTTCAAACATTTCCTGAAGCTGTTGTCTATATTACCAGTAAAGTTGTTATCTGACAGCGACAAACTGGCCAATGACTCGGCATTGCATATTTCCGGAGGTAACTCACCAGAAAGCATGTTGGTGTTGACATCAAGTAAGGTCAAGGACGGAAGATGTAGTGGTGGTAAAGAGCCATTAAAGAAGTTCTTTGCCAACATTATAGACTCTATTCGCTTCCAGTTCGAAACCCAGTTAGGCAATGGACCTGATAGGTGGTTTGAATCAAGTATAAGAGACTCCATTGATTCCAAGCCCGCAAGACCATCAGGTAGTGTACCATATAATGAGTTGAAGGAAAGATTCAGAACCTTGAGCTTCTTGCAGTTTCCTAGTTGCTCTGGAATTCTTCCACTCAGTCCCGCACTTGCAGCAAGAAAGTAAACTAGATTCGACAGCTTGCCAAAGCTTGCTGGTAGTTCTCCCTCAAAATCATTCTGTGCTATATTCAAGTAAGTTAAGCTACTCAGCTTGGAAATTTCTTCTTGCACATTTCCTGTGAATCTGCAACCCTGGAGATTAAGCACTTGTAAGGCTCTCAGATTGCCAATTGTCTCTGGTATTGCTCCATTTAAGTTGTTGTTTCCCACATTCAATGTATTCAGGCTGATCAATTTCCCTACTTCCATTGGTATAGTTCCAGTCAGCGAGTTCCATGAAAGATCTAGAGTCCTAATCATCCCTAGATTTCCAATTTCTGGAAATATTGGTCCTCTGAATCTGTTCTGATTAGCACCAAAGTATAACAGCTTTGTAAGGTTACCTAAACTGGAAGGTAGGTACCCAGAGAAGAAATTTTCACTAAGGTCAAGGGACTGCAACTTTTGTAGATTTCCAAGCTCAGCTGGAAGAACTCCAGAAAATGAGTTTGCATGGACAGAGAGTTCAGTAAGTTCAGTGAGTTGTCCAATTGTTGACGGTAAACTACCAGAGAAGCTATTATCATCAAGCACAAGTTCTCTTAGATTTTTCAGGTTAGAGAGGGCTGGAGGCAGCATCCCAAACAATCTGTTATCACTCAAGTCCATGGTCTCTAAATCCTCCAGACTCCATAGATTTTCAGAAATACGACCAGTGAGGGCACAATGGCTGACATTAAGATGCTTGAGATTTCTAAAATTTCCAAGATAGTTTGGAAATGGAAGATCCAGGGGTAACAATGTACAAGAAAGATGAATTTGGCGTACTGCAGGACCCTCACATTTTATGCCAATCCAGTTGCATGGTGAGATCTTTGAGTCAAACCAACTTGGAATAACATCTCTTCTTTGGAAAAGAGAGTTTCTTAGAGCAAGTAATGACCCAATGTCACCAAAATAAATTGCCAATGAGAAGGATGATTGTATGAAGCACAAGAGCATGATGAAGTGAAGATGAGAGGCCTTCCATCTCGGAGTTGACATTTTCACTCAGGACCAAGTTCTGAATTCTGATGATGAAGATCAATTGAAGACACTGTTCTGTATGGCCAATAATATACTTCTTTGTTCAAGAGAGTTTCACATTTTCCATTCAAGGGAATGATTCTGCAAAGAAAACAAGGAATTTGAAAAGTTTAAATCGTGTTCATCTCTGAAATTATGACAAAATCTTCAAATCGAAGTAAAACACATTTTATTTAAATAGTATCTGTAAATAATGGTATCGCAACAAAAGTCATGAGTTTTCTCCACCAAACTTGACAAGAAAAAGAAGAAGAATCTAGAAATTATTCAGATGATTTAATTTCTAACTTTTTTCAATAAATAACTTGCACCAGATTATTCTTTTTGAGGGACATAGATCTTGCAATTAAACAATGTAAGCTCAAAATAAGAGCCACACTATGTATCAGTCCAAATGAAATATAATAACAAACATGAAATTTTTCAAAACACAGCAATGAAAGCGCTTAGTTCCAAATCAAACTAAAAGCCATCTCTGTTTATACTACAATTGGAGAAGAAACTTAAACTACCTCCAAGTTAGATGTACTAAACTCCTAATTTCAGCATTCCCCTAATCTGAAGTTCAATTACAAACATTACTCCCAGTGAAAACAATTTCCTGTAGAACAGTAATGCTGTGTTTAGTTGGGGTATTTGGGGAGGGATTTGGAAAGGGAAATGGAAAAGATAGGTGAAATGTGAATAAAACATACCTATATTTCACCTAGTTTCACACACTTTTTCCATTTCCCTTTCCAAATCCCTCCTCAAATCCTCCAACCAAACACAGCGTAAGTAAAAGGAATAACTCGTACAAAAAGTGTAATTATGCAAATATATATAGACGAAAACAAGAATGTTTTTCTAAATCACCTACTACACTCTCGAGTAAGCTTCTGTCCCCGTGTGTTTATGATTGAACAAACAGACCTAATATATACAGTCCACACAAAAAAAGGTTTAGTGCACGAGACTCTTGTTGAAGTGATATTGAGAAAAATATATAAAATCTTACCCCATTTCAAAAAGTATGCTTTTGAGACTCGGAACCTATCTCCACACAAGAACAATTGTGTTGCATGCAAAACATTTTTTTTTTTTTTTTTACAGAAGGGACACAGAGTGAGATACATGTGGGGCTCACACAAATGGACCCCACTGTTTTGTCTCTCGTGTTATCCGTTCTTCAAAAAAAATTCTGTGTGCTTATATTTTCTAAAGAGTAATGCAAGGAACCTCTAAAATATCGTCCCTAAATTTACCCCTAAGGTGGCAAGGGATTGGGTCTTGGGTTGATTCCAAAAAAAAAAAACTCAACAACCAATATGCAATTGTAGACGTCATTAGAAGTAAATTTAGGGGTTTAAAGTATTTTTTATTTTTCAAATTAAGGCAAAATTCAACCTTCTCTTAATAGTCTGAAAATAGAAATATCTGAACACAGGTGCTAAATGCAAATTACCTCCAAGTTCTGAACTATGAAAACCCAAAAAAAGGTAAGAAAAATGAGGAAGAAAACTAGGGGGGGAAACAAAGGTTATTGTTGAGCAAGAGAGAGAGAGAGAAGGGTCATTGGTGGTAGCTGAGCTGAGGACAATTAAGATGCTCATTAATGAAATCATTAATACAATAATGATGCGTACTCATCCAGCTCTATAATCGAACCCTGTGTTAGGCACAAAAAAGCAATTCCAACAATTAATCATTTAACCACTCTTCTTACCAAAAAAAAAAAAAAAAAAACCATCACTCCTTCAAACTCATAGTTTTTCCTTTGATATAAATCAGATTCATTTTTATGAGTTTAAATTTGCACTTTACATCACTGAACTGGGACGAAGTTCAGAGCTCCAACCCCTCTATTTTTTAGTGTAAATCAAAGACAAAAAAACAAAAAACTTCATTGAAAAAACAAAAACTAGCTAGTATTTGGAATCTTGCGAGGAGCAGAGAGTGGGATATATATGAAAAAAATAAAAACAAATAAATAAATAAAAAGGGAAAAGCTGGTGACTTTATACAAAGGCATTGGGCTCGAGAAAGATTGACAGAGAACCTCAAACCACACAAACAAAACAAAACAAAGGCATTAGAATGTCAAAGCATAAACATTTCTTTTAATCACACCCACTAATCTCTTCTTCTTCTTCTTCTTCTTTTGTAGAAGAGGTATATGTTCTCAGGCAAAAGTTACATATATATATATATATATATATATCAATGTAATAGACATTTAATATTGACTTGATAAAAAGGAATTTCACTTGTATTCTATCCAATTAACATAAACAAACAAGTTTGATAAAAGCATTTTTCACCTCTTGCTTCTGAGAAGATTAACAAGGCTTAGTAGAACCCAAGGATGTACAATAAGATGATGAGCTCAACCAAACCAAACCCCAAAAACAAAAGAACAGAAACTGTAGAGGAAGCACTAGAAGGCTATGCAATGAACAAGTGTTTTTCAGATCAAACTGGTGAAAAAGGAGAGTTGGAAAAAGTAGAAAGGGTTGAGGTTGAGGTTTGGAGTAACATTGGGAAGATGAGAAGAGAGAGAAGAAAGTGAGAGAGAGAGAGAAAGAGAGAGAGAGAGAATAGCTTCTTTTCTCTCACTCAAAGATGCTGCCTGCTACCTTCTGGTGGTTCTGATATGTTTCAGAGTCTTCCGTACAAACACACACACACTGGTGGTTCTCCTCTCTCTCTCTCTCTCTAAAAAACTGAGAACTCATGAAGAAAGCCACGAATGACTGACTCTCTCTCTCTCTCTGCAACTTTGGGTATAGCAGAGGGGGTGGGTGATGGTATTCGGATACTCATACGCTGGTCGTCGTTTTACAGAGCAGACTGGTGCGGAAGGCGTGACTCTCCTTCTCTCTCTCTAGCCTTTCGCACATGCTGCCAAAAGTAGACGGTTATGTACTCATAGACCCCCCCTGGTGCATATGGTATGCATTTATGTATTGGAGAAATTATTTGGTGATACCAGGGATAAGGCTTCTTTTCGAAAACAAAAATGATTTAGACCTCTAAAAGAAGAGCTCTAATAGAGCATTAATTTATCTTTTTCTTCCCTCTTTTTTGTCTTTTACTTCACTGTTATTTTTTTTTTTTTTATTGGTTGACAGATCATTAGAACTGTCCTTTTGCAGCTCTAATTAGAGCTCCGGAGCATGACTCTTTGGAAAATGCTGGGTATTGATTTTTTTATTTATTATAAAAAGATGTGTAAAAAATAAAAATGTACAATGACTTAAGTTTTAAAATAAAAATCAATAAGTTGTCCTATAAATCACTTCTCAAAATAAGACATAAGCCCAACGTAAAACTCTTTTGGTAATACTATGATAAACTGTTTATTGATTTATTAAGTTAATGCCGTATTTAGGAATAAATTATTTTAATAATTTTTTAATTTTTTATAAAAAGATGTATAAAAAAATAAAGAGAGTAATGTCACAATTTATAATGACTTTTTGACTTTTTAGTTAAAAGTGAAGGTTGTCAAACGAGGTCTAAATCACGCCATCTTTTTATTTTTTAAGGTTTTTTTTTTAAAGTCCCTGATATTATGATTTTATAGCATAAATGATATTTAATATTTTCATAATGTCTAAGGTCTCTCAATATTGATCCAGAGAAATTTCAGTCCAGAGAAATTCCAGCCTAGAGAAATTTCTATTCAGAGAAATTCTGAGCTTCCAAAGATTTTCTCTGGGTTCAAGACTTTGAACATTCAAATTTCTCTGGATCCATGAACTAACATAAAAAAATAAATAAATAAATAAAAAACAAAGAAAATTCAATCCAGAAAAAACTCAATCCAACTCAGAGAATTTCTTTGGTTCAAACCAGAGAAATTCAATCAAAATCATAGAAAATTCAATCTAAATCAGAGAATTTCTCAGGTTCAAATCAGAGAAAATTCAATCTAACTCTGAGAATTTCTCTAGTCCAAACTTGAGAAATTTAATCAAAATCATAAAAAATTCAATCTAAATTAGAAAATTTCTCAAGTATCCGGATTATTCATATTGTGCTCGTGAGTATTGAAACTCAACGAAGAGAAAAAGGGTACGAAAAACACATCATCCGATTCTGGATCCGAAACCCTAACCGCCTCTCGACTCTTATCTTCACCATCATACACCAACGAAGCCATCATCCAATACTCAACGCTGTGCTGCTTCTTCAGTCTCGAATTCGCCGGCCACGATGGCAGAGTCTGGGAAGTCACCGGAGTTTCGTCGGATCTCCGACGTTTCAGCATCTCGACTTGAATCGACGGGAAAGATCGTACATGAAGACCCTAAGCGGCGATTCGGTGCGGCAGGGCATAGTGTAGTTAGGTAGAGATTGTAAGAGTGGGAAGAAGTGTGATCTGACATCAACGATTTCGATATAAATGGAGTAGGTGATGAAGATGATGAGGATGAGTATGAGAGAAATGACTGTTTTTCCGATCATCTTTATTTTCTCTCTCTAGAAAGCTTTGGGTTTCTCTCTCTATATGTATGTATGTATTTACATGTCTGTGTGTAGTGAACTCTCTATGTGTGATTGTTTGATCGTAGTGATGAGTGAGAGTAGACAAAAGGAAGGGGGCTGAATTTCTCTGTGATAGATGGGAGGGACCTTAGACATTAAAAAATAATATTGTGGATGTCTTTTATTACTAAAAATAGGAGAGAGACTTTAGACTAATTTTTCCTATTTTTTACACATCTTTTTGTAATAAGTAAGAAAAATTATAAGTTATACTTAAAACAACTCTTATATGTTAGAAATTCATAATTTAAAATCAACAGTCAAAAGTATCCCTTGATTAGTTTTTAAAAATTAAATTTTTTCAATTTATTTAAGTGTTTTTTGTTTAATAAAAATTATAAGTAAAAAGTTATAATAAAACATTCTCACACAAATTTTCAAAATAAAAAACCAAAGACAACTTAAATAAATTGTGCCAAATAGTGCCATTGGGACTTTGCTGTGTTTGGCATGCCTATTTGGGCTTAAAATAACCGTATAGAATAAAATTTATTATTTTAATCAAATATGATAAAATATTACATTTAAATCATAATTATTTTATTTTTTCTCTCATAAAAATTAAAAAAATTAAAAAAAATCTATCCCAAACAAAATTTTTAACATCAACCTAAAATAATTAAAAAATTAAAAAATCATCCCACAGCTCTGCATTGAAGGCAGAGATTTTGGCCATTGGTGATTAATTGAGAGAAGGGGCATCACAAGTGATGTTTTAGGAATGTCATGGAGAATAGGTTTCATGATTTTGTGCGAAGGTCGTAGCGCAGTAGGAATTTCGTAATTAATGCAAAGACACGTGTTTTAAAAAAGGAAATTCTTCTTTTCGGTTCAAATCACATTGAAAAATACTATTCACCTGCCTTGTTTTTACTTTTCAAAAAATACGTTTTAGAAAATTTTATTTTCTTATTTTTTATATTAAATCATTATTGTTTAAGTAATTATTTTACTTTTAAAATATACCTAACATAAATATACTTAAAAAGTAAAAAAATTATAAAAAAAATCTTTTAAAAATTCACAAAATGAAAAAAATATAAAAAATACAAGAATTTAATATATTTTTGTATTTTTATATATTTATTAATTTTTTCACAAAATTTTTACTTTTTAGATACATCTAAGTAAGGTGCATCTAAAAAAGTAAAAAAAATATTTAAAATTTAAAAAATATTCACTAAAAATAAAAAAATATGAAAACCAAAAAAATCAATTTTCAAAAAACTTAATTCAAAAAATTCAAACCAAACACACTGATTAGTCTCTATGGGGTCATTATAGAGTCTGCATCGATAATCCAAATCGATTAATATATAGAGTTTGTCGAATAATTTATTCTTACAAAAAATTACGTTGATTGGATATCGATAGTCACTTGATCAAATCACATTAATGTTAACTGTAAATATAATTTTTAAAATAAATTATTGATATAAATATAATTTGATTAAATTATTATCAATATCCGATAAATATATTTTTTTATAAACATAAATACTCAATAAACCTATATATTAAAGAATTCAAATTATTAACACGGTTTTATAATCAACCCACGGCAACCTAACCATATCTTCCTATTACAGAACCCATCTAGATTTAAAAATATTGTGAGATCTCGTTTGTTTTCAAAGATAGAATGGAAAGAATTAATAATAAGGAGATTGTTAATGAGAGAATTAAATAAAATTATATTTATTTTGATGATAGTTGTTATTATAGAAATTGTTAAATTTTTTTATATAAAATAATAAAACAAACAAAAAAATACAAAAAATTAAACATTAATATTTAAAAAAAATTACCAGTGTGTAAAAAAATAAAAAAAATAAAAAAATTTATAATTCTCTCACTATTTTTCTAATACCACCTCTACCTCCACCTCCTCCATCATAATCCCCCTTCCAACCTCCATCTTAATCCCATCATCCATTCTAATCGCTTCCACAACTCTACAAACAAACACAATATTAAATAATCCTACATCCATCCTAATTTCATTCCATCTATTACACCCCAAAATAAACGGAGCCTAAGAGGATCTCCAATCCACTAGGCATATAATGTTTGTTAGGTAAAATACCTAGTATTACTCACTTTTTTCAACTCCAATGCACTAGGTATTTAATGAGGCATTTTAGCTCAACTCACATTCACTAGCTACATGTAGTTAGCCTTCAAGGCTAGATAAAATGTATTTAATCATTAGGATTATTTCCCTCAATCTTTGTTATTGATGTGACATTTTATAAAATTAATAATATTTAAATTAATAGCTTAAATAAAGAACATGATTAGAGCAGAAATATAAAATAATTGATAGGGAGTGGCACTCAAAAATTTTTATTCGAGCACAATGGCATGAGAGTACATGATTGGTTTAGAGAAAGAGCACGTGGTTGCGCGGAGCACCTAATTAATTTTCATTTGAATTACTTATATTACTGTATATATCGGCTATCGTGTCTCAAAAGCCTCCTTACTCGGACGCGGGCCCCTACTGTGCCTGCTGTGTACCTCAAGTTGCGCGGAGCACCTAATTAATTTTCATTTGAATTACTTATATTACTGTATATATGGGCTATCGTGTCTCAAAAGCCTCCTTACTCGGACGCGGGGCTCCTGCTGTGTAATGTCCCTGCTGTGCCTGTTGTGTGCCTCAAAACGGCACCGTTTTGTCACTTTTTTTTTTTTTTTTTTTAAATTTATATGTAATGGTGTCTGCCGCCGTTTCTATACCCTCCAAGCAAGAGTAGAAAAGTTAGTTTTATTTAGTATTTGTTTTTTACACTTCAAGCAAAAGTGTTTATTGTGTTAGAGTAGAAAAGTTAGTCTATTTATTTATTTATTTATTTCATATATGTAAGAGTCTCATTAATTTTTGTTTTATTATAATAAAACAATTAATCTATCATACTAAATTATATTTTTTAAAAAAGATTAATTTTAAAATTAAAATCAAACAAATAATACATGCTTTGATTTTTTCAAAATTGGCTTAAATGCATCAAAAGTAAAATTGAAAGGGAAAAAAATTGTAATTAAACAAATCACTTTATCAAACCATAAGCAAAAAAAATTGTAACTTAAAAAAAAAAAAGTTGTATCCACAAAAAAAAAAAAAAAAAAACAACTTAAGGCCAAAATATATTCAATTCACATCAACATCTGTATAAATAAATAATAATAATAACAAATTTTAAAACATTCGAAACTTCAAAATCTTCTGTCAAACATCTAAAAACTTATAGTCAATTCACATCCAACACTGTATAAAATAATAATAATTCTGAGGCATACAAACTTCAAAATCTCCAGCCAAAATATCCAAAAATCTTTTTCAAACCACTCTAAATCATTCAAACAAAATTCTAAAAATCTTCATTTCAATTCTCAAATAACAAAAACTACAAAGTGGATCTCCATGTCAATTTTGTGGAGGCGATTGGGATAAATAGAAAAAATCAAAAAGACTCTCATTTCTTCTTAAATTCGGTCTCCATTGGATTGTGCCCGCTAGATGAAGTGATATTCCCTATAAAAAAATTAAAAAAAGAAAAGAAAATTCATTTAGAATAAATTTTATGGATAAATTACATTAAAACATATATATATATATATATATATATTATCTTACTTGAGAACTTTGTGGACTATGTGATGCTTCAAAAGACAGAGGTTGTGATTGTGGATACCTTGGTGAGTATGAATTAGGGCTAGTTGCATGTACTAAATAAGCCAAAAAGTCAAAAAGTCACTATGCTTATTTAAGTCACATCATCTTATTTAAATCATATCACTCTCTAACACATCACATCAAACCCAACTCAAACCCACCAATAAGTCAAAAAGTGCACTTTTTTAGACATGTGAGAAGATTATACCCATAATTTATCAATTGTGGCCAATTAGAGACTCCCAACATCTATATTCCATTACAATCAATGAAAAGTAAATACAATTAATACAAACGTAGTCTAAAAATAAACAAATAACATTAAAACAAGAGCTAACTGTGGTTGGCTTAAAGATGAATTTTGAACATTTGTAGTGTTTCTTGATTGACCAATAGTCTAAATAAGTTGTAAAATTTATCAATACATTACACAATTTATATATAAAAAAATAATAATAATAAATAAATAACATAAAACAATAACTAACCTGTGGTTGGCTTGAAGATGAATTTTGAATATTTGTAGTGTTGCTTGATTGACCAATAGTCTAAAGAAGTTCAAAAAGTTATCAATACTTTACACAATTTATAAAAATAAATGCATGTCATTTGAAATTTCAAAAGTACGTAAGTAATACCTTACTAAGGCGGGTTGGTTGTGAAATAACTTTTGTCTTCTTATTCATCATCTCATGCCAAGGTTTCAATCTACCCCTCCCTTTGTGTCCAACATCTTTCTTCTTTATGCCCTTAACTTGTGCAAAGTTGGGGTCATCCGCATCTAATTCTTTGGTACCAAAATTTCCAACTCCCTTCATCATATTATTTACTTTTACACACAATTCCTTAATCCCTTCATCAACCAATTGATAGGAAGGTTTGTGCATAGATGCTTGAGTTGCTAGTTTCACCATTCTTGGACAAAGATCTCTATAACGTGCTAATATCAACAATTTCGGATCATCCTCATCTACTACAACATTTTTCTCTTCAACTTCACAATCTTTTGCATCCAATCTCCATTGGCCTAATATATACATTTCGAGAATTTCCATAGCATTCATTCTATCAAGTGATTTGATTGCATGACTACATAAGTGCTTTGATTGCATGACTACACAAAATTCCGAAGTTCTCAAATTTCTTACAAGTACAATGTATTTCTCGACAGCTTTTTTCTCCTCTTAGCCCAGTAACTTCCACTCTACCCTCCACAATATACTCTTCATCATTACCATACAAGCCAATCACGCACTTAACTTCTCCTTCTAACTCATGGAATTGTTTCACTTGACAACAAAGGGATGTATCCAACTCATAATGAAATAAATCAAAGATAGAAGGGGTGTACAAACTCGCAACCTGGATTAAAATGGGAGACTTTTTTAATTTCATTCTTGGCAACTTTTGTCTAGAATCATATATTGTAGAAATTTCCTCATACCGCTTATCTACAACAATCCGATTGAAATGAGTAAAGAATTGAACAATGTTATGATCACCTTTCAAATATCTCCTTAATGTTCCATTTAGACTTTCACTAAGTTTTGTACTTCGCATTCCTCCAGTAAATACCCACTTCATATACACATGCGCCCATTGCTCTCTTTTTCTCCAAGTTCTTTTCATCCACTCATTCTCTTGCAAGTTGTATTTATCAATCAAAGAATTCCAAGCTTCAATTAATTCATGCTCATTCTTGTAGTCATAAATGCAAGCCTTTAAATCGCTACTAAATTTTGAACCACTCTTGAACAAGTAACCTAAATGCTTTAAAGCATTTTGCATTAGGTGAAAAGTGCACAACCTATGAAAAACCTCAGGCATGATTTGTGAAATTGCCTTAGCCATTGCTTGATCTTGGTCTGTAAAAAAACTAATAGGCTTTTTTCCTGACATTGCATCCAAAAAAGTTTCAAATAACCATTCAAATGACTCTGTTGTTTCATCATACAATAATGTTGCACCAAAAATCACTGTCATTCTAAAGTGGTTAAAGCCAGAAAATAAAGCAAGTGGGCGGTACTCCTTATTTGTTCTAAAAGTTGTGTCGAATGACACCGCATCACCGAAAAGCCCATAATTTGTTATCATCTGATGATCAGCCCAAAAAATATTAGTAATCATCTCATCTACATCCAACTGAATGGCATAGTAAAAATATGGATTTTCTGTTACTTGCTGCTGGAAATATCTTAACAAACTCCCTGCTTCACCATACTGCAAGTTTTGCTGTCTTTTGCCACGTAAGTAGGTTTTCTGATCCTCCCGTGTGAACCCTACAAATTCCTTCCCTCCTGCTATAGCACTAATAAGATCATGTGAAGCCTTAAGAGATATTCCAGTCTGATCAGCTATATCAATATTTATACCCTGAGCATCACATACCTTTCTCTGAGATGGCATCAAATGAGTACATTGAGGAAGATGCAAAGGGTGGTTGTGGTTGCTATCAAACTTTGACACAATCCACTTCGACAAGTCTTGCTTAAAAGATATATGCATGAATGCATTACAATTTGTTCTTGTCTCACTTCGAGGATTTTTTATTATCGTATACCATTTATCTTTTTCCCTCTCTCCCTCCTTACAACAAACAAACTTTCTACTAGTCATAACATCATCTTTCTTGCTTTTGTTACAATAATCTCTTCTAATACTAAACCCCACAATTCTTCCGTATTCATTATAAAACTCATATGCAGCTTCTTCCGATGGAAACTCCATACCAAGATATGGTGATTTATCCTTGGCCAACTCTCTCATTTCTTCGATGCATCCCTCAAGTCCACCATCATCCATTATACCATCCTCCATTTCAACACTAACAAATATGAAGAAAAAAAAATTAAACAAAACAAGAATCTGAGCAAAAAAGTTATTAATTAATTTTAAATGCTAAGTAATTAAACAATTCAATGAAATCTAATAAATCAATTAATAATGTAAATTAATTAAAAGGATAGGGGAGAGGAAAAAAAGATGTGTAATTTGTATAGTAATATTGGAAATTTATTTTGTCTAAGTAGATTATAATATACGATTGCAAAATTATATTAGAATTAGTATATTATATAATATAGGGAATCTTTTGGCAGACACACTTAAAGATGTGAATCATATGCCCTCTTATTATATAAATTTTTGATATATGTTTCGGATTTTTGTCACAAATGTTATGTCATTTTTTATTGAGTTATGACAATTTATGATTAAAAAATTAAATTTGCATTATGTAGTATGGTATAGATTTTTTTGTTGAAACTTTTTTAAGACCATAAAATGCATAATATTATTACAAAAATACATAACATTGTTATAAAAATGTATAATATTTCTACAAAAATGCATAACATTGCTATAAAAAAAATTATGAATTACAAATTATCATAACTCCTTAAAAAAATTATATAATATTTATACAAAAATACATAACATGTACAAAACAAATTACATAACAAAGAAATTTTCTTATAATATACAATTGTATTTCTCAATCTATTTACAGAAAACAAATCAAACCATTATACTTGTTGAATCCACTAACACACTATACAAAAATAAAATAAACATATAATATATATAGATATAGATATAGATATACATACCAGTTTGTTGAACAATACTGGCCTGTAAATCTGGCAGAAGGATGGTGAAGCAAAGACAGAGAATACTATCCAATCTGTTTGAGAGAAGACAAAAATGAATAAAAAACAAAATAAAAAAAATAAAACTAATTTTTCTACTCCAACACAGCAGAGTCTTTTCCTTTGAGTGTTAGAAACGGCGGTAGCGTCGTATGGGTATCCTACTAAAGAACAAAACCCTTACATATAAATTAAAAAAAAAAAAAAGTAGGCAAAACGGTGCCGTTTTGAGGCACACAGCAGGCACGGCAGGGACATTACACGGCAGGGGCCCCGTGTCCCTCCTACTCGCTATGCCTGCCCATGCGATTTTTTCTGTCCCACCAAAATCCCACCTTGGATGGGGCTTCAAAAATATTCTTTCCTTTCAGAAACTATTTTCACACCTCAAAAAATTGTTTGTTTTCGGAATGCTATTTTATTAGTAATTTTTTAAATTTTTTACTAAAATACGAGAGAAAAAAATAATTAACTTGTTTAGTTTTGATTTTTTAAAAATAATTTTTAAAAAATTTTACTTTTTTATTTTTTGTATTTTAATGTTTTTAATAAATTTTTTTAATATTTTAAGCAAATTTTTTTAATTTTTAAACATACCTAACATAAATACACTTAAAAGGTATAATATTTGTGAAAAAAATCTTTAAAAAATAGGAAAAATAGTCTAAGATTCCTCTTCCATTTTTAGTAATGAAAGATATCCATAATATTATTTTATGATATCTAAAGTCCCTCAATTCCACACCCATATATAACAAAGAAATTTGACTCTCTCAAATCAAATCTCCTAGAACCTCTTCGCTTCCTCCGAGTTCTCCACCCCCTCCCGTAGTACCCCTTCCCTACAATCATCCTCATCATGACATTGAAGGTGAACCCGAAGAACGCTGATTTCATGTTCACTGCTTGATCTGGATTTATGGCCTGAGTCTATTGGTCCCCAAACTTTGCCTCAGAGACTAGATCGTCAAATTACATGGTAATAAGTTCTCAACCCCAAAGTACCACCCTTTGGTGGCGGCGGCGGTGGTGGCGCGGGCGCGGAGGAGGGAGGGGGGTTATAGCAAAGAGTTGGCAAGCCCATCTCTCTCTCTCTCTCTCCCTCTCTCTCTTTGTGTGTGTAATTGTTTGTATATTTTGCGTGAGTTAGCTCCTCTTCTTTAATGTCCTTTGGCTTCTTTGGACCTCTCTATATATTTGTTTGTATACATATATAGTGTAAGAAGAATTTAATGTACATGGACTTGATTGAATGCAACATCCAACCTTAAAGAGCAGGAAGAAAGGATAGAGAGAAAGAGAGAAACAACCAAAAAGCACAACTCCACTTTCCCATTAAATTAGAAACACAAGCCTAATGATGTGAGAATTTGTTCCTTTTTTGTCCCTCTTGGTCTCCAATATATATGCCTCTAGAGTATAGTAAATTAGAGAGATCAAAGAAATTCTCTGGATTGAAGAGAGCGACTTCCATCGATTATTACCTGGAGATGATGAATATATATGTAGAGTATAGTGGTAAATTGGACTTAGATTTACTTAAAGCTAGATGGTTGTTGTTGTTGAACGTAGAGAAAATGATAAACAAATAAGAGAAAGTTATAAGTAAAAATCAGAGAGAATTTCTCTGGTTTGAACCAGAGAAATTATCTAAATCGAAACTAGAGAGATTCTTTGGATTGAAGAGAGTGACTTTCATGGATTGTTACTTGGAGAGGATGAATATATATGTAGAGTACGGTGGTAGATTGAACTTGGATTTACTTAAAGTCAGATGGTTGTTGTTGTTGAACACAGAGAAAATGGTAAACAAATTAAAGAAAATTATAAGTAAATCAAAGAGAATTTCTCTAGTTTGGGCCAAGGAACTTCTCTAGATTGAATTTTCTCTGGATCGATTTGAAAGATCTTAGACATTATGAAAATATTAGATGTCTTTTATGCTATAAAATCTTAATATTAGGGATCTTAAAAAAATCCACTTAAAAATACCCAAAATACAAAAAATACAAAAAAAAAAATGAAAATTCAATGTATTTTTTGTATTTTTGTGTATTTATTAATTTTTTAAAATATTTTTTCATAGATATTTTACTATTTAGATACATCTAAGTAAGGTGCATCTAAAAAAAGTAAAAAAAAAAAATTGCTTAAAATTTTAAAAATATTTACTAAAAACAAAAAAAAAATGAAAAACAAAAACTCAATTTTCAGAAATTGAATTTAAAAAACTGAAACCAAACACACTGAATATGTTTAAAATGAATTTATTATTTTTTATGAAAAAACATACCAAAAGTAGAGGGAAAAGAGATTTTTTTTTATTTTTAAATATAATTATTTGACTTTTAACTTTTTTAGTTTTTCCCAATCAATACTTAAAGTCCTTAAAAAATCTTTTCATTTTAGTTCCTTAACCATCAATTTTTTTCAATTAAATTCAATTTTCAATGAACCTTATAGTTTCATTAAGAAAAAAGTCACGTTGGGACAAATTCACTCCACCCATATTCATATTCGACCAGTATTTAAGGATAACAATGGAAAGATGAAAAAAATAAATTCAATACCCCTTTTCTCTATGAAGTATTAGAGAATTCTCACTTTGGACCTTAATGTACATGAAATGCAATGTTAACAACGACAACACGCCAACTAGCGCCAGTAGATTCAATAAAGAGATAGTAGGTTTAGTTGCGGTGGTAGTGTAGACAGTTGAAGATAAGAGAGGTTATGAAATAAAAGAGAGAGGTAAGACAAGAGAAAGGTGATGGGTGTTTGTGAACTGAGTTGGAGAGAAAAACAAATGGTTTGTTGTAGTGGAATGTTTGGTGGTGGGATCCTTAATGGAAGAAATTTGAGAAAATTATATGCAGGCGGAAGAATGAAAAAAAAAGTAAATTATTCATACATAAAAAGTGTAAGTGCGTCTATGGTAGAATATAAATGAAAGATTGTAAGAGTGCAAGTGTCACTTATGCCCTTGCCTGTAGGTCTCCAAAGAAATTTTCCTACTTCAATTAGACTATGTCAAGAGATAAAGGACTAAAGTATAAATAATTTACAACTTAAAGAGCCAAATGAGAAATTTAGAGCATAAAATTCTAAAACCAACCCTACATTATGTCGGTTGCAGTTTGGTTCAAATTGGAAAAGAAATTGATAGTTGAGGAATAAAAGTGAGAATTTTTTTCCCTTAACCAAAATGTAACATGAACAACAATTTTAAGTTCAAAGTGTAATTTATCCATCTTTTTGGTATATGGTTTAACAATATTCAAGGAAATGTCAAGAAAAATGATAGAAAATTTACCCATAAATCTCATACGGGAGAATGTTGACCTATTTAGTCCTAAAAGTTTTTTTTATAAACCAATTAGTTTTTTTTTTAATTTTATAAAGTTATATTTATTTGATTTTGTGTGTCATTTGAGTTTAAGTGAATGTCCTTTTGTGATTCAATTTTTTAATTTTCTAATTCTTTTTTGGATGAGAATGGAAATGTGAGATGTGAAAAATTCTTTGAAGTGTTGGTTGTCGAACGTTAAAATCTACATTTCTATTAGTATGATTTTCTAGTGTTATATTAAAGTGCTACGTTTGGAAAAAAATACACTAACGAGTTTTTGTGTATTATATTGATTCGAGTGTTACATTAAAGTGCTACGTTTAGAAAAAGTACACTAACGGGTTTTTATGTGTTACAATAATTAAAGTGTTATGTTGAGAAAAATACACTAACGAGTTGTTTTGGAATATTACATTGTAATATTTGAAAAAAGTTCAATAAAAAGTTTATTACTATATTATATTGAAGTGTTACGTTTGAAAAAAAAAATACGAAGAAGTTTTTTTGGAATGTTACGTTATTATGTTTGAGAAAAATACACTAATGAATTTTTTAGTATGTTACATTGGAGTGTTACGTTTGGAAAAAGCATATTAAAGAATTTTTGTATGTTACATTGATTAGAGTGTTAAGTTTGAGAAAAACACACTAAAAATGTTTTTATTGTGTAACATTAGAGTGTTACGTTTAAAAAATATACACTAAAGAGTTTTTCTTAAACGTTACGTTTAGTAATTTTAATATTATAAGAAAATCCATGTTTGACCATCAATACATAATATACATATGTTTATGCTTGACCCTTTATGTAATTCATACTA